GAGGGGAGCCAGGGAGTAAAGGGATTCAAATCCACTTCGGGGTGGAGAGGCCCAATCACTGGGTGAGGCTGCCTGCTTGGTGTGAATGGCAGGCCCCGACCAGGAGGGCTACAATAAGGCAGGCAAGGGGTGAGGTGTGGGCAAAGCTTGTGATGATGGGGAGCAGTACTTCGGTTACTGTGTGAGTTGCCCAGAGACTTGGCAGGCCCTGTGGAGTGGAGAGGGAAGGGCAGATGGCCGTGGCAAGCGGTCTTGGATAGTGGTATGAGGTATACTTACCCTCATGGGGTAAGGAAGCTGCAACACATGCCAGGATGCAGAGTGTGGCCCCTGTGAAAGCCAGTGGGGGGCTGCAAGGCCCAGCCCAGGGGCCAAAGATGGGGCACCTGAGGCCGGGGCTCTGAGAAAAGCAAGAGATGCCCAGACTTGGAGGGACTGGGTCCAGGCAGGTTGCCAAGAGCAGGAAGCAAGTCAGGGCTGCAGGTCACAGAGCTGGGCCAGCTCTGTGGCTCCAGCACAAGGTACCCGATGGCTGGTGTCCATGCAGAGCCCAGGGTGTAGACCTGGAGCTCCTTGAAGACTATCCACCTGCAGCCTCTGGTCAAGAACGGACCTAAATGCCTACCATGTGGCTGAGCCATGGTGAGCGGGCTGGGAGATCCAGGGAGAAGGAAGGTTGGGAGGAAGGATCTCAAGAGTCTAGGGGGCTAGAAATCGATCCAAGGGAGGAAGGGGTGAACTTGGAAGAGAGAGAAGGTAGCTAAGACTAAATTATTCTGAGGTAGTGCTGCAGACAAGAGAAGGAGGCAGGACCAGGTGAGTTTTCATTCCAGATTCAGCTTGGCCCTCCTGGCTCGCCTCCTCTGAGTGGCTTCCTAAGACCCTCCCTGCTGCATCACCATCTCCCCCTGGGGTCACTTCCTCTCCTTGCCCAGGGGCTCTGATAGTGCAATTTCCGGGGTGACTGTCCTTCTGGGTCTCAGCTTCTCCCTAATCAGCCAAAAATGAAGCATCAGAGTTTGGGGAACAATAGGATTGCCCCTACTATTCCTGCTGTTTCCCTTCAGATGCCCCAGTCTGGGTCCCAGCACACTTGCAAGTGATATTGAGGCCGTCCCTGTCCTGGCTGTTCTGGGGCTGATTCCGGCTCAGCTGATCAGAAAGCTCTGAGTTTGGTTTTATCATCAAAGAGTCCGTTACCCGCCTCCATTCTTTTGTGCGAAATTATATTTAGTCCTGCCAAAGAGATTTCTGGATTGCTATAAATTTTCTTTGCTATCAGAACAAGATAAGGAATTGAAAAGAGGTCACATAGAGGGCAGGCATCAAAGTGGGCAAATAAAATTGTCTGACATCACCTCTACCTTCTGAGTTCCTCCGAGGAATGCTACCAATATTTAGAACATTTATCAATATTTCTGGGGTGCTCGTGTTTTCTTATAGAACCCCTTCAAAGCCAGCCAACATGGATCTGTGTCTACATCACCTTCTGAAAAATAGGGCCATGTTGGAAGTATATTTGAGTGCTGAGGAGTTACAAATCAAAGAAACTCATGATGAAGAGCCTTAAAAATAAGTAAGTCAGTTAAAGGTCACGGTTAGGCCACGTTGGAGCGCATCTACCTCATGGCTTCTGTGGTTTCATTTCTGAGAAGGCTGCAAGGTTCTCGGCTTTTTGGAAGAAACCACTTATTTAAGGAACCGAAGCAGAGTTTTGAGGGATTGACAGGGGAGTTTAAGGTGCCACAGCCTGGGTGAGAGCCATCCTGTAGAAAGTCTTCCTAGGCTTTCCAGGAGGGCCAAGTTTCATGGAAACCTTTGGGGTGTGCTCCGGCGTTTGATTCAGAAACCTCTGCCTCCCTGGGAGAAAACTTGATGACCAAGGAGAGATGAAGATTAAAATCTCAGAATGTAAGGGAATGAGGCTGATGAATTTATTTCTAAGAGCAGTCTAGGGGCTAGTTCCATGGGATGGGGTCCAACAGGGCAACTGTGACTAAATTAAACTGTGGCATCAGGGGAGCACGTGCCCCGGTGCTCGGCCACTGAGCTGCAGAGCTCAAGAAGCAGTAGGGTCAGGTGATGGAAAGGGATAGATGAGGGTGGGAGAAAGGGGAATGTGGGCCCACAGGAGCCCTGGAGAGTACCTAGGCCAGCACCAGCAAAGAGGTGGCCTGAGAGCCAAGACTTAACCTCCTCACCTCCAGCCCCAGTCATGGTAGACCCAGATGCAGCCTCAGAATCCTGCTCCACACAGTGTACCAGGAGCCCCTATGAAAGAATTAAGTGGTAAGCTGAACCTAATTTGCAATCTCTAATTTAACCTAGCTCTTCGTGAGACAGACAGGAAGATGTGATTCAGAGCAATTAAATAGTTTGTCACTCAGCCACAGCTTGGCTTGGATCTAGAGCTCTCTTCTCTCTCTCTCTCTCTCTCTCTCTCTCTCTCTCTCAGAGGAAGCAGAAAGAGGAAAGAGAGAAGGCTTCGGGCCTGAATTAGCCACCAATCTCTTCCATCACTCTCCTATGCATGCAGCTGTCCACCCTTTGTACCCCTGCTGCCCCTCATAGGCTTCTGTCACCCCTTGCTCTCATAGGCTCCAGTACCTGGCCAGGTGCTTCATCTGAGGGCCGAGGGGGCTGAGTCTGATAGCTGATTGTATTGCACTCTTCTTTGAAGAAAGATCAGATTTTACCTTGGTCTATCTCCTGCATATTCCTCCCTCTACTTCTAAAGATACTAAAATTTCCTTGCCTCACCTGGGTTTCCAATTCCTCATTTGTTCGGACCCTGGGTCAAGTGAACTGAACCCACCTGTAGAATTCTGGTAGATTCCACCCTGTTTGGTCCAGCACCAACCATAGCTGCACATTGTACCAGAAGTCAAACAAATTAAGAGGTGGTGTTTATTTTTATGAAAACATTCACATAGTTTTAAATAATGAACACTGATGGCTCATTCAAATAGGATTTATTCTATAATGGTTCCCATGACATGTAACAATTTATAGAAGGTGTTCATTGCACCTGTAGCATGAAACCCTGGCTCTGAATTATGCTGGTAACACCATAGCAGTAGTAATAAGTTGCATAAGGCTACTCTTACTATTTTTCTCCCATTTTGCACATGAAGAAACAAGCTTGGGCACATAGGTGGCTGATCTAAGGGCACTTAGAAAATTAGCTGTAGAAGCAGACTAAGGGCTGAGGTCCTCTGGTTCCTAGACCCTTCCCTCCAGAGAAAGGGCAGAAGCCCAGAAGGCCTGGTCTTGTTTGCTAACCCCTAGGCTTGGCTCCACATACTCATCCCAACTCATGCCCCATCTTGATTTAATGGCTGGCCTTGCTAATTTAGCATTCTTACCCACTGCTGTATCCCTAGTTCTCAGAAAAGTGCCTAGGAGGGCGCCTGGGTGGCTCAGTTGGTTAAGCGACTGCCTTCGGCTCAGGTCATGATCCTGGAGTCCCGGGATCGAGTCCCGCATCGGGCTCCCTGCTCAGCAGGGAGTCTGCTTCTCTCTCTGACCCTCCTCCCTCTCATGCTCTCTGTCTCTCATTCTCTCTCTCGCAAATAAATAAAAAAAAAAAAAAAAAGAAAAGAAAAGTGCCTAGGACATCATACTTACTCAATAAATCTTTGCTGAATGCACAAATTGTCTTCAGGGAATCTCTAGAAATCGAGATAAGAATTAGTCACTCCGATACGTATTGACAACTTATAAGGTTCCATGGGCCGTACCTTCCCTCTCATCATTCCTGGCCACCCCCTGAAGAGTTTGAGGCATGGGGGACCTGGGCGGGGGGACCTCAGGGAGAAAAGTTGGACAAGCAGGGATGTAGAGAGGATGATCTTGGCAGGTTGATTGACAGGCTCACAGGGAGTCCATGTAAGTCCTAGGAGAGGAAGCTGTCCCCAGGGTGGAAGAGGCAGAGGTATTTGGGGGGAAATGGTCATAAGCAAACATAGTGGTTCTCAACCCAGGGTGATTTTACCCCCCTGGGGACATATGGCAACATTTGGAGATATTTAGGGTTGTCACACTGGGTGGGAACTGTTGTGACATCTAGTGAGTAGATACCAGGGATGCTGCTGAATGTCCTGCAGGGCACGGGACGGCCCCCACACAAAGAATTACCTGGGCCCAAATGTCAATAGTGCTGAAGTTGAGAAACCCTGTAAACATCACCAAGAACTGGGATGACCAAATAATTCATTGTTCACCCTGGGGCATTTGAGAGTGAAATGGACATTATTAATAAATATGCTGGGACGATGGTCATAACCTGGACCGAGGTGGGCAAACCAGGATGTATTGCCAAGAATCCTTGGGTGAGGGAGAGTCTGATCTGGGCCTGCAGGACATGGCGGCTGGGGAAGAAACTCGCCCAGTCAGATGGGGCCTCCAAAATGGGAAGGCTCGACTTCCAGGTGTAAGGAAGAGGTGGGGCCGGGGAAATCAGGTCTCTCCAGAGCTACCTTGGTGCCACCAAGGCAAAGGCATTACCCTCAAATTATTAAGAGAGAGATGGGTGTCTGTTTTGCAGAAAATGTGTTTTGTTTTTTCCCTCAGGAATGGGGTCGACAGATGTGTGGTTCATATTCACTTATAAACACTAAGTATCTCTCAGCTCACATCTCCTTTCTAGGTCAGGGATCGCCCATAGGTTTTGTGTCCTTTACAGCTCTGATAGGTTGTACCCACGTGGAAGGCCGGGTTGAGAAGTAGTAACACCCTCTCTGGCCCACTGGAAAACAGTACAGTGATTGATTAGCAGTGTCTGCCGCAGGTCCAAAGAAGGGTAGTCAATGGTAGTGGCCCAAAGGCCACACCTGTGCCATCCTTGTAGGGCCTCGTTCTTGATCCTCAGAGCTGGGGCTGAAAGAGCATGAGGTCCAAGTCCAGTGGCCTCTAGTGTATTACTTAGGGCTGCGGCACCCCCCTGCTGTGCTGGGCGCTGGGGGGATAACAAAGACCCCAGAAGACCTAGCCCCCGCCTCCCTCCAAGACCATGACATTTTTATGGGTGAATTAAGAGGCACGCAAGTGAAATCACTGGAGGACGGGCCACAATACGGGACTGCACTAGCCAGTGCTCCCTGCATGGTAGAGCCTGCGTCCTGCGCAGGGCCGGACCAAGGGCGGAGCTTGAACTCAGAGGAGGGATGAGGGGGACTTGGGTTTGGAGAATGGCTTTGGAGACAGGGGCCATGGCATGAGGAAAAGACTCGCTGAGCCTCAGGGAAGCAAGACAGGAAGTGCAGGAGCCCCCCATGGCCTAACTAGCAATTGCTTGCTGTATTTTTCCAGGGAGAGAGATGGTGGGACCCACGCTGCCCGGATACCCGCCCCACATCCCCACCAGCGGGCAGGGCAGCTATGCCTCTTCTGCCATCGCAGGCATGGTGGCAGGTAAGGAGGGGGCTGGGCAGGAGGGGACTCCTACAACCAGGAAGTGTTGGCCAAACGTGGAGCAAAAGGGAACCAGAGGTAGGGTGTGTCCCCTGCACAGACTTCCCAAAGGGCATCAAAGGAGCCACCGAAGGGCACATCTTGTAAATGCCTCGAGCCAAGATGTCACTGCAGTCCCGGCTCCTTAACTCTCCCCCGGCTCAGCCTCCTTCTTCCCACATGCTCCCAGACTCCCCGTGATGAAATGGGCAGGGCTGAGACAGACCAGTGTTCAAATCCAAGCTCTGCCACTTCTTCCATTGACTCAGTCAGCCTTGATGGAGAGTGCTCTAGGGGTCCGCAGAACCCTGTGAGCTAAACACCAACCTGGCGCTTGAGCCACCCATGGTCTCCTAGGCACTTCCCTCTGATGAACCTGTATGCCCTTTCTACAAACTCTGAGTAAGAATGGGGTTGGTGATGATGGTGATGAAGATGGTTGACATATACCTTCCTTTATACCCCAACCTCACTCAACCCTGCGCGGGTGGGACTCACGTTCTAGGGACTCCAAAGGTACTACAGGGAGACGAGCTGGGAGGATTTCTCCACCATCACTGGGACTGTCCTGGATTCCTATCTTCCAGCCCTTTGGGTTTCTTTATCTACCGGCGTGATCATTGCCCAGCAGTGACCCAGGATGTCAAGGTCTAGGCAAGGGAGGAGGACAAGGGGAGTTTCTTTGGGCGAGACGCACTCACTCTTTCAAGAACCATAGAGGAAGGACCCAAGGGTGGAGAGGGCAGAATTGAGCCATTTCTACTGCCCCAAGAGGCCCTAGGACCCGGAGCTTCCGGAACGGGCTCTGAATCAGGGCATCTGGGAGTCCCATGCCAGCCTCAGTGGCTCTGACCCCAGAGACTTAGCGCATCCACCCAGGCCTGCTTCCCTCCCTCCCTGGCCAGGGTTATTCTTCAACAGCCACCCACTCTGCCCACCCCGCCCCCCCCTTGCTGAGGCAGGTGGGCTGGTCTCTCCTGGGCAGAGGGAGGGGAGGGAGGAGGGAGACAGGAGGGAGGGAAGGAGGATCTGCACTCCCTGGGAACCTGCTGAGCTAGCACTTGTTGCTGCCTGGTTACCGTGGCGATGTGCTTAATGCAGCGTTGAAAATACAGAATACCGACTCCTCTCTCCCTCCTGGCCCTGGACTCCCTCCTTCCCTCCCTTCCTCTTCTGGAGCGTGAAATGAGATTGGTCAAGATAAAAAAGGAAAAGATTCAGTTATTTTTTTAAGAGTGTGGATAATGGGGCCTCTCAATCAAAATCCCAGGCTCCAGTCGGCTCCCCCCATCCCCCTTCCAACCTCTCCACCTTCCCTGGCCGCCTGCTCAGAGGAGGAGGAGGAAACAGAAAGCACAGGGCTTTTTTCTCTTAATTATGAATCATTCCCCCCCCCCCCGGGACCAAGCCCAGGGCAAGGGGGTCCTGGGGCCTGGAGTCTGACCTGGGAGGTAGCTGGAAGGTTTGGGCCTCTCATCAAAGGCCCCCAGGTGTTTCCAGAAAGATCTCATCCTGAGTGAGTGTGGTGGAAAACAAACAAAAAAAATAGCACAAGTACAGCATCAACTACCAGTGAATTACAAAAGGGGTGGGCCTTGCCTTGCACAGTGCACGGGCTCCCCAATAAGTTATATGTAAACCAGTTTTCAGAAAATGCAATACTATTTAAATGCATCATCTGGGTCCTAGGAACTCTATGGTACAAATGAATTCTTAAGGGCTTTTTTTTCCATACAATATGATTTGTCCGTCTCTTACCAGTAGCCACAATCGTCCAGTGGGCTGAGCGGAGATTCCTTCCATTAAAATTAATAAACCTTCGCTGAGCACCTACTGTGTGCTAGGGGCAGAACACTTGCTTAATGCAAAGGCATGCCAATGACATTCTTCGGTCGTTTGTGGGAGGAAGGCAAAGATCATCTATTGGGCACTTGGGTGTGCCTGGTCATTCATAGATACAACTTTCTTGTTTAATCTTCACCATAGGACTAGAAGGCTGGTATTATTCTAGTTTAATATAGATAAGGAAACAAGCTTAGTGTGCTCAGGGTCTTAATGAGCCATACTACGTGGCTGAGTTGTTCAAACACAGGTCTTCTGATTTCAAATCTAGGGCTCTTTTTACTGCACTGCACTGCCTCCCACAATACCAGAAATAACAACACAAACTATAAGAAAGCGACACAAGAACAGGACCAGGACAGACTTCTCTTATCCACTCATCTTCTGTTTTGCCTTCTCGTGGTTGTTGTTATTGTTGTTCCTGCCTCATTAACAGAGTTGATGACCCTCACACCAGTTCTAGAGCTGAACTGGCAACTCCAGATAGATGGATCCGTCCATCCATCTACTAAGCTTTCCACCCATGTATCTTTATACCCATTATCCATTCATCCATGCACCTTCTTACCCATTCATCCATCCTTCCATCATCCATCTTTCCATTCTTCTTTCCTTCCATCCGTCGTTCCTTCTATCCATTCATCTATCCATCCTTTCTTACATCCATCTTTTCGTTGACCTATCCATCCTTCTATCCACCCATCCACCCACCCATCTATCCATCCATCCATTCATCCATCCATCCATCCATATATCCTTCCATACATCCATCCCTTCATCTATCCATCTTCCCATCCTCCATCCTCCATTTCCAGCCTTTCAACCATTCTTGCATCCTTCCATCCATTCACCACTTTTTCACTTAACAAATACTGGTTGAATATCTATGGTATAGGATGCTGGGGGATATAGCAGTAAATAAGGCAGGTCCCTCTATTCATGGAGCTTACAACCTAATGGTGGAGAAGAAAGTACAGTAAACAAGTAAACGAATGAACAAACAAGATAATTTCGGATAGTGATAAGTGCCGTGAAGATAATAAAGTAGAATGATGTAATAAGAGCCACAGGGAGAAGAGATAACTACTTTAGATTGGTGAAGAGGGGAGACCTCTCTGAGAAGGTGTTCAAAGTGGTCAGCCAAGTGATAAACTGGAGCAGACCATCCCCAGCCAAAAAGAACAGCAAGTGCAAAGGCCCCAAGGCAGGAACTAGTTTAGCATGATCACAGATAAAAAGGGGGTGAGTATATCTAAGAACAACAAGTGAATGGAGAAAGCACTACAAAATGAGGGGATTTGGGGAGTGGCTGGGTCAAATTTTAAGACTACTCAGGCTGCTGGGAAAACAGATAGTAGATAGTCAAAAGCGGAAACACAGAGACCAATTAGGGGAGGGACAATTGCAATAATTCATTCAAGACATGACGGTGGGGGCACCTGGGTGGCTCAGTCGGTTAAGCATCTGCCTTCAGCTCAGATCATGATCCCGGGGTCCTGGGATCGAGTCCCACACCGGGCTCCCTGCTCAGCGGGGAAGCTGCTTCTCCCTCTCCCTCTCCCTCTGCCCGGGCTTGTGCTCTCTCTCTCAAAGAATTAAATAAAATCTTAAAAAA